CATTGGACATAGGCCCATCAGTAAGCGAAGCAGGATCCAATTAATAACTTGATTATCCAGCACAGCCCAAACAATAAAAGGCAAGCGTTGATAAAATAATTTTATTAAATCATAGAAAAAAACATAATTATTTACACACGTTTTTTTATTACATTACGATGCCTCTTCTTGATTGGTTCTGGCGAACAGGGGCTGCTCGACTGTACAAAACTTTGCGTTTCTGATCGTCCACGCTTGGAGCCCGGCGTGTTCATGTTTCTGCAGAAATTCCTTATAACTGGAGTCAGCTCCGGGATTGCATAATATAATGGATGGAATCCCGCCCTTTATTTTCCTTGGGCGGGCATATTTGCAATTTGAAATCCAATCCTGTTGGGCTCCAATAAATTCCCGCCAGTGTTTCAAAAATTGTGGGGCCACGTCATCGATTACATTATATAAAGCAGCATCATTGTGGTCCCGTAAATCGATGTGGCCGGAATATTAAATTTGTCATTGAAGAATTTTCTTTTGTGCTCATTTTAGTGACGAATTTTTTTGTCACCTTAATCTATATCATTGGTGAGGATAAATTTCGTCACTAAAACTGATTAGGTGATGAAATATTTCGTCGCCAAAACAATTGAAATAAAATATTATCTAATTCTAGTGACAAAATTGATGTGATAGAGGACGAAAATTGCAACATATAGAGATGAAAAATTTTGTCGCCAAATATGAAAAATAGGCAACGAAACTATTTTCCGTCACCAGGTACTTTTAGGGACAACGTATATGCGACAAATGTGGTGACAAAATTATTTCATCGTAGATCACTTTGGTGACGAAAATTTGATGTTTGGAGACAAAATGAGTTTGTTACCTAAGACCTTTTTTGTTGTAGTGCGTGATCCAAAATCCAAACCGGAATCACCCTCACCCCTACCCTTACATCACGAAGCTGGCTAGGATACCTATCATTCAGCAACTACCAGAAAGGGTTGACTTTTCCAAAATCGATTTTGAAAATACGTCGGTCTCTGAAAGCAAGCATTTTCTTGACTTGGTGCATAATGTTTGTCTTCCCTCTTCCTCCAGAGATGAATCAAATAACTACCAAAGCAAGAATCAGACAACTTGCTTTAAAATGCCGTGTGTGATGGAGCTTTAGGATGCTGGTGTCAAGTTCAAGGTTGTAAATGATGATGATGATGAGCTCAACTTCAGCATGTTTGATGTACACTTTGAACATGGTCATTTTAAAATACCAAAGTTCAAAGTCAATGTTTCGACAGAGACGTTTTTCCGAAACATCATTGCCTATGAACAACATTCCTCAGATGACAAACCCAAATATTTCACCGATTATACATATTTGATGGATTAACTTATCAACTGCAAAGAAGACGTGACCCAACTTCGTTGCCATGAAGTTCTTGAAAACTGGCTTGGCGATGACGAAGTGGTGGCACTTATGCTCAACAACTTGGGTAACGGCAGAATCATTAAAGAGTAGTTCTACTACACGGAACAGTGCAGCAAAGTGAACGCTCATTGCAAGAGATGGTGGAACATAGTAGTAGCTTCATTGAAGCGTGATTACTTCAAAATTGCAACTTTTTTTTTCCTCCTCCTCACTCTCACACAGACTGCCATTGCCCTTATTACTATTCCTACTTCGTCCCCATCCCCATCCCGACACTAATATGATGTTGTTTGCTACCATTTTTTCATTTCAACAAAATATTCTTAGTTTCTTTGTTTTATTAACCTGAGTGAGAGAATGTGTTTTCAGAATAAGTATAGTGATTATTAAGTTAACTCATAAATTAGTCCAAGTACACCATTCAATCCCATAATTTCCCAATTTCATGGATTTCAACACAATTCTATATTTTCCGAAATTAATTATACCAATTCCAAATACAAGGGGCGTCGGAGAGCTTCTCGCCAGCAATTTTCAATGTCCCTCCAATGAGTTTTAAAAACACTTCTATAGTGTAGATTTGGATTTTTATGTCTAGGAAAAAGGATTTGAGAGTTTCTCTTTTAGTTTTCTGGATACCATTTTGGATTTTCAACCCCTACAATAGTCTCCTCTTCAAAGTAATATATACAAGGGGGAAATGAAGGGGTTTAGTTGAAAAAAGCAAAAAGAGGAGGCAATTTGAAATTCTTTTCTAAATTTTTATGGATAAAAACATAATTTTTTTAAATTTCGAGGAGGGGCATTTGCCTCTCTTTGGTTTAGTGTAGATTTGCTTCACTGGAGAAGCTATAATTCTAATAGAATGGACATTGAAAGTAAAATCATAATCCATTCTAACAAAAATCTTAAGAGCATATAATATTTAAACACATAAAAACTGAACGTAGAAGAAATCACAAATACTCACATGAAGTTTATGAGTTAACTTAATAATCACTACAGTTATTCTGAAAACACATTCTCTCACTCAGATTAATACAAACAAAGAAACTAAGAATATTTTGTTGAAATGAAAAAATGGAAATAAACAACATCATATTAGTGTTGGGATGGGGATGGGGACGAAGTAAGAATAGTAATAAGGGAAATGGCAGTCTGTGTGAGAGTGAGGAGGAGGAGAAAAGCAGTTGCAATTTTGAAATAATCACGCTTCAATGAAGCTACTACTATGTTCCACCATCTCTTGCAATGAGCGTTCACTTTGCTGCACTGTTCAGTGTAGTAGAACTACTCTTCAATGATTCTGTCGTTACCCAAGTTGTTGAACATAAGTGCCACCACTTCGTCATCGCCAAGCCAGTTTTTAAGAACTTCATGGCAACGAAGTTGGGTCACGTCTTCTTTGCAGTTGATAAGTTAATCCATCAAATACGTATAATCGGTGAAATATCTGGGTTTGTCATCTGAGGAATGTTGTTCATAGGCAATGATGTTTCAAAAAAACGTCTCTGTTGAATCATTGACTTTGAACTTTGGTATTTTAAAATGACCATGTTCAAAGCGAATATCAAACGTGCTGAAGTTGAGCTCATCATCATCATCATTTACAGCCTTGAACTTGACACCAGCATCCTAAAGCTCTATCACACACGGCATTTTAAAGCAAGTTGTCTGATTCTTGTTTTGGTAGTTATTTGATTCATCTCTGGAGGAAGAGGAAAGACAAACATTATGCACCAAGTCAAGAAAATGCTTGCTTTCAGAGACCGACGTATTTTCAAAATCGATTTTGGAAAAGTCAATCCTTTCTGGTAGTTGCTGAATGATAGGTATCCAAGCCAGCTTCGTGATGTGAGGGTGGGGGTGAGGGTGATTCCGGTTTGGATTTTGGATCACGCACTACAACAAAAAAGGTCTTTGGTAACAAACTCATTTTGTCTCCAAACATCAAATTTTCGTGACCAAAGTGATCTACGATGAAATAATTTTGTCACCACGTTTGTCGCATGTACGTTGTCCCTGAAAGTACCTGGTGACGAAAAATAGTTTCGTTGCCTATTTTTTATATTTGGCGACAAAATTTTTCATCTCTATATGTTGCAATTTTCGTCCTCTATCACATCAATTTTGTCACTAGAATTGGATAATATTTTATTTCAATTGTTTTGGCAACGAAATATTTCGTCACCTAATCGGTTTTAGTGACGAAATTTATCCTCACCAATGATATAGATTAAGGTGACAAAAAAATTCGTCACTACAATGAGCACAAAATAAAATTCTTCAATGACAAAAAAACATTTTGTCGCCAAATATTTCAATTTAGCGACGAAATATTCAGCAAATGTGACGAAATTATTTGTTTGATACTATATCATTAGTGACAAAATTATTTGTCATGCTGTTTGAAAACTAGTAGCGACATTTTTTTTCGTTGCTAATAATAATTAATTTTTTTTTTAAAATGGGGGTAATATTTTCAATTTAAAATTTTTCTTTTCACTAAAAATTCCTCGCGCATTTGAATAACCTGTTCAATAAAATATCTATTACAAATCAATATAAAAATCTATTCATTTTCATAAACACCACAGTCAAATTTCAGCACAATATCCACAAAAATACAATATCAACTGCATGTGCATTACCAAACACGTCTCCTAAGATTCACAAAAAAACATGTCTACTAATATCCACAAAAATATAATATTAAGTGCGAATTACCAAATATGTCCTGTAACACCCACAAAAATATAAAATTTACAATGCAACCAAAATATATGTAAGGTAATATGAACAAAAACACAAAATGAGCTAGTTTCTGCTCTCCAGATTACCAAACATGTCCATTTCTAATCTCGAATCTGCAACAAAACAAAACACAAAAAAAGAAAAGAAAAGAAAAGAAAAGAAAAGAAAAAGAATGTAAGTTAGCCAATTATTATCATAACAATCAAATATACAATTTAAAATGTATTTTTCGACTTAGTTTTCAAATTGGGAGTCCCGTGCTAGTTCCATAAATTTTCACAACTTACATTGGTCCCTCCCGAGGTGTTTGAGATGTTCCTCGGGTCTTCTCGTGCCTGTTACACGATTTTGGCCCCTGATGGCCTATTTATATATATATAAAAAAAGGTTTTTAAGGCACGTAATGTACATCGTAAAAACCCTTCTACAACATGCAGTGCGTGTCATATTATGACTAGTCATGAAAAGTCATTCACTTTCAACGACATGTTTCGTACGTCGTTAAAAACTATTTAATGGCAGATTTTGTGGGTCGTTACTTTTTCTACGACATGCTAGAATACGCCGTTAAAAACTATTTAACGACAAATTTTGTACATCGTTACTTTTTCTACGACTATTTTTGCACGCCGTTAATTGGTGAGACAAATAATGACACTGATTGCACGCCGTAAAATATGTAATGCAACGACTTATTATGCCTGCCGTAGAATATACAAATTTTTTATTATTTTATTTTTAAATTTAGTAGGTTCTATTTGGCCAATTTTGTACATTCTAACAAATATTACAAACAAGCATCACAAAACATCAATCAACCACCAAAATATTGTTTGAAACATCAAAAAGAAACTATATCCATAAATTATAAACATTCAAAAATTGTCTATACATTCAAAATATTCGAAAACTATATTCTTAAGTTCTAAACTATCCAAAAAGTTTAAAACATCCAAAATTATGCATATCTAAGTTTCTAAACATATTCAAAATTATTAAGAGATTATTTAAAATTACAAGCAACAATTCCTATAGCAATTGTAGCTGTAGCAAACCCACTTGCTCCTATCACAGGGACGAGGGTGCCCATCTAAGCTTGCAACTCTTACCACGTTCCTTCAATCCTGCATTTATCAAAACAAAAGAGATTTATGAATTAGGTCCCGGCCTCAAGTCCACTTATGACCTAGCAAAAGAGATTTTAGAATGACAAAATAGATTTATGACAATTTTAAATAGTAAAGTTGATTCAGGCACTAATTTTGACAATTTAGAGGAAGAGTTCACAATGAGCTAAGAGGAAAACACCAAAAAATTGAAAAAAATAAGACAAAAAGAAAATCACCAACCATGTGGCAAATTTACAACAACATTAAAAAGAAAAATATAATTTAAGAGAATATTTTAATAACCTTTTTTGTTTTTTGTGTAAGTACTTTACTCAATACCACAATAACATATAAGCGTGAGTAGAAATCTCGTGAAGCTAATGTTAAAATGATAATACTAAGCTAAATGAGATCATATGCCTTTGGATAGATGAAAGAAAATAAGAGAGATAACACATGAAGTAAGCTTCAAATTTAGTCTAAAAGATACACAAGAATCAATTAGGGAAATATCAAAATTGAGCATTTTAGTGAGCATATAATATGCCTGTAAAACTGCAAACAAGCACTTTCTATGTGCACAAAGAAACATACACCAAATCCAAGTACATCTAAAATTCAGGTGGTCCATGTCCATTAGTACCACACAACATAGTAGTCCAATATGATGGTTTTAGTAAGTGGAACTGCTTCTTTGATGTTTGATATAGAAATTAAATAAATATAAGATAAAATCATTTTCCTTGCATCACACCTTTTCAATTAGTTAAATTAAGTGAGTGCTTCATGCTAATATGTAACAACAAAAACGAATAGGTACACTATCCTTTGACTGATTTTCCATAAGAAATACATACACATGCATACATGCATATACTAGATAAAATTACATAGGAAAAAATAAAAAATAAAAACCCACTGGCATAACACATTGTTGAAATCAGTCAAGTCCTTATAAAGGAAAACCTCAAATAAAAATGAATATCAGAAAAATTATGCACACTTGTTTGAGAAGAGAAGACTAGCAAAGCTGAAATAATATTTTCAGCAAGAGTATAAATCTCTTTTCTCAATATCAAGAATAAATATGTGATTCATCAAATGGTATAAAAGTAAGCCAAGCATTTCAAAATCATGTGTCCACAAAGAGATTGATGTACCTAGTAGCAACTTCAAGAAGCTTTAGGTGACCTTCATGTAAAGGATTAAATGAACCAGATAACATTATCTTCCTTTCTGTATTAGAAGTATTTGTCTCTGCAAAACATTTTCTTCATAAAGAAGAATAAACAAAAGATGAAGAGTCACTTGAAGGTAAATCCAAGCCAAGGGTTAAACCATACCACTTGAAAAGGGATAAACCATAAAACATATTTCCCCACTTATAAGCTGCTCTAATTCTTGATCTTCATCAAAGTGCTTTACACATTCATCAGGATCTTCAGATTCAGTCAATTCTGAAACAAATGTTGTTGGAACTTTGCAAGCATTTGCAATTACCTATAACCAAAAGATAGTTCAACAAGTTAAGGTATTAGTGGCTTCATAAAAAATCAAAAACACTAGAAAAGGTAAAATCAAAGATAATTGGAAACATATTTTTAAAATAACAGAATAGATATTGACAGTCATTGAGCTTATTATCTGGACTATGTACTGCTCTGCTGAAAGATAGAAGTACAAATAACATGAATAGTCACCAATGTTGACAATTGAGGGGTGGGTTGCTGCAAATGACTATAAAATCAAATAATTGGAAATCATCAATGCTGGATAAATATTAATTTGGCTAGATAGTCATTCTCTCACCTCAGTATAACTAACAAGAATGCCATTAAACTATTGGGTACTTAAAGGCCTATTCCTCACAACTATCCATCATAAATGTTCTCAATACCGAATTTGGGTAAAGAAAACAACCTATTGTTGAAGTGGTACTATAATTTGATTCAGTCAACTTGCATATACACACGTAGCAGTAACATGATTTAAAACGAATGAAGCCTGAGGTTTAGTGACAAACATAAGCCAAATATAGGTAAATATCTAACCAAAAAAAAAGAAGGGGGTGAATAACTCCCGAGTAAGAATCCAAGAAACATTTTTAAAGACATTGAAACTGGGAAATAGACATCAACTGGTACTGTAACAATTAGAACAGGTTACTATATGAGAAAATTAAAACAACATTTGAAAGAACGTCTAAGTTTGCCTTTCTTGCTGTATAGACAAATCACCAGTGCCAGACTATAGTTATATTAAGCCTTAGGTTCACAATGAATAGAAACTCATGTATACTACATGAATATCTATATCTGGGACTACAAGGCCCTACAAAATAGAATAAAGTGCTTTCTTGTTTGGGTCCTTTCAAGTTGGAACATCAAATTTTTGTTTCTTATTTCTACGAAGCTCATAGCAGAATATACACCAGAATTTTTTTTCTGAACTATGATTGCTGGTTAAAGCATGCCTAAGGGTGACTGGCGTCCTGTGCTAGAATCCCTGGGTGATCATGTCCTATAGAGGGAAATCATGGAACAATAAAGCATCTAATTGAATTGCTTCCATGCTCTGGGTATGATGAAAAGTCCATGTAGAATAGAACAATCAAGATTAATACTTCATCTATATTAAATGATCTGGGAGTGTACAAGGAAACTTCCAGTGAAATACAAATACATTTCTTTTTCTTTGTTCAAACATTAGTATTGGACCCATGTTTCACTCTTCTATCCATGTTGCATATTGGAGAACATTAATAATTCATGCATTATGAACTCTCCATGGCCCCTAATTATATACTAGCAAAGTATCTTATTCTAAACATTGTATTGTATATGAGCCATTATTGTCAGCAGTAGCCCTTTCCAGCAGATATCTAGAAGCATGATATCTACATGTTTTCATAGATTAGAACAACCATGTTTTTTCAGCGTCCAAGAGCATGATCTTCCCAATCCAAAAAGAAAAAGCATAATCTTCCATGACTATAACATGCACAAATTTATCTTCAACAAAAATCTTAAATGTAAATGACAAGCATCATGATGATTCATTCTCCAAGCATGAAATCAACAGGATATGATTTGTAATGTTTATTGCGCACCTTAAGTAATACATGACTAGTAACCCTATCTTCTTGCTCTCAATTTCACAAACCCTGAATCAATTCATTACAAAACAATGAAACAAAGAGGGATATTAAGAGGGAGACTAAAAAAATGAAAAAATACAAATGAGACAAGAAACAAAGAAAGAAAAAATAACGAATTTATATTGACTTGACAAACTTACATAGTATGAAGTAAACAAACAAAGTTTAGTTTCAATTCTCAGCTGTGTACAAATCCAATCTCAACCGTAAGCAAATTCACACAAAAAGGAATCGAAAATTTAAGTTTGAGTTTTCATATTTCAATTGTATAAGCAAATGGGGTTTTCTTCAATCCAGCTTAATCAAATTAATTACAAGAGGCAAAAACTACAGGTTTAGCAAATTCAAGGTGAAGAAACTCTTGACAGGTTGAACAAGGAAGGGGCAAAAATTTGAGAAGTTGAAAATTATAGTTAGGGTTTGAAATTGAGAGAGAGAGAGAGAGAGAGAGAGAGAGAGAGAGAGAGAGAGAGAGAGAGCGTGTTTACTTGATGCAAGAGGTCTGCAATCGAGAGGATTAGCAATGGTAGAGTGTAGGCAGCTAAAAATGTCTGGAGGCAAAATTCAAAATGTCGAAAAATGTAAGAAGAAACATCAATAAAGCACCTAACCACAAGAACTAAAATAATAGTATAAGCCTTTAAGTTTGTTAGCACTTTCTTTGCTTCCTTCCAAAAGGTAAAATGAAGTGCTACTAGTGAAAACTTAAAATTGGAAGTCTTTTGTTTGGCAAAATAGATCAATTTCAAAAGACAGTGGGGCTTTCCATTGCTCATTTTGTTTTCCCAAGAGAGCATTCATTTTCAGTTGGTTATCCCATTAACCCAGTCATAAAATATTTTTGTGATGACAACTGGAATATTATAGGTGATTTTTGAAAATTAGTTGTTCTCCTGTTTATTGTTTATTAAGAATTGGGTTGAAGTTGTTTTACCACATTTCTCTACTGAGGAGAGTCATATCCTTCATTTACCAATTTTAGATTTTAGAAGACAATATTTTATTTTTCTATTTTCCTGCAGAAAATGATTTACATGGGAAAAAAGAAACATTGTAAAGATTTACTTATCTTCACTATTCGGTAATATAAATTGTTCAAATTACATGATAAGTTGATCACTGAAATGTTTGTACCTGTGTGTGATCTGTGGCATACTGTTTCTGTCTCTTGTCCAACTTGGAGTTAACTGAAGTTTCGACTTTGTCATCTGATAATTTTTCACTCGCAGTGGTAGACAATTTTGACCATTGCTTGTATTCATCACTCAAGTTGAGGATAGCCAAAAAATATTGAGCTAGTTCTGCTTCCCCAATTAAACAGTCATTAATAACTCCTGCATTTCAAATTTAAAGCATGTATCGGAGCATAATTGCTGAAAAATCTAAAGATCTCAATTATCTAACCAATCCCAAATGGGAGAGAAATTTGTGTGGCTTAAGAGAGTAACTCTAGCACATTTTTTTCACATAGTTAGATCATAAAAGAGAGAATTTTTTATTAACCATACATGTTAAAGCAAGTTTCGAACGCACCTCGGCATCAGGAATCTTTGGAGGCAAAACCTCATCTATTACATGATAAACACATACAGATAAAGGAAGCTGAAAGAAAAGAGACATGCTAAAAAACCTCAGCATAGCAAAGGTCTTCTCTTATGACCATTTTTTTTTAGAGAAGATGAAATAACCAGAGAATTTGGAATGCATTAGCTATAATTCCCAATCTAAACAATTCTAGCAATATAGGCATAGATGAAAGAAAGATTACACACCTTCAAGCTGCTGATATCTTTTGTCTCCCCTGGCAGCAGACTCACTGTTGCATGTTTCAACTTTCCTTTCTCTTAAAAATAAAAATATGCCACCAAATTAAAGACCATAAATACATATTTTTTTTTACGAAAAAAAGAATCTTGAAAATAAGTTCTTCTAAATCAAACTTTTTAATTAGAAAATTAATAATGGATAATAGGATTTAATAAGGTTGAAGTACCTGCAGCACTAATCCATCCAATATGATGCAAAGAGTTGGCTAGGGCTGACTTTCCAACATTTGGAATCCCAACTAGCAGCACTGTTATGGTATGATTAGCATGATCAGTCTTCTTCAATTCTCTAACTCGGGCTTGTAAGAAGTTCAGGAACTGTAAAATGTGAACTCCAATCAAATGCTACTAAATTTGATTAACCAAGGTTGAATTGAGAGAATCAACTACAAAACAATGAGCTTTATTGCCATCTCATAGATGAAGCTATTATGGGACTTTTGTTATCGACATGAAGTTCAGACTAGAGTCACCTATAAATAATGACCAAAAGTAATCCTTACCAAGTAAACCCCAAGTTCAAATAAAAGAAGAGAGAAACAAATCTTAAATAAGTTTCTACAATCCTTGTTTAGAACTGTTCAAGAGGTAATTGCATTTTTCAGTGCACTAATGTATGTGACTGCATAGTGACTCACTGCTAAGTAAGAACAAAACTAGCTCATTGCAAATGCCATCCTTAATGAACCAAACACTATCTCTAAGGGTAAAGAATGATGTGTCCTGTTTTCCTTTCACTTTAAGCTAAAATGCCCATTATTGTGGTTTATAATTTTTTTTTTTTTAAAAAAAAAATGTCAATCTCTCATCATTCTGAACAAGATTTTGATATAAAAACTCTCTGTTTGTAGATGATTTTCCTTACTATAATTAAACTGGTTATGTATAATCATGGGCTACAGAAATCAAATTTCAGAATCTTTCTTTAAACATGAATCAGTCTAGATAAGAATCTACCTCCAGGTAATGAGATAAACTTATCAAAACTCCAGACAACAAGTTGTTTTGTGTTCAATCAACAAAAAAATAACTCAATTTACACAAATCTGAGTTCAAAATCACACAAAACGAAATCAAAACATTGATCTTTTTAATGCCCAGAACTAGAGATTCATAGCTGATTCAATAATTTTGAAAACAAAATGAAGAAAACATTGATCTTTTCAATGCCCAGAAGCAGAACAGAGGAGGACAAGAGATATATATTTGATTTGACGATTTTGAAAACATTTTTTTGAAATGGGTATGCTTGAAATCGATGGAGATGAAGTGGGTTTTGTTTTTTGGTGATGGGAAAGGGGTTGAAGACTGGAGGGTTTCAGAATCAGGTCGAAGATGACCAACCAAAACTGAACCAAAAGCAATGAAACGCAAAGAGAAGAGAAGAGAAGAGAAAAGAAGAGATTGTATTGATTGTTGTCACCACCGAACCAGGTTGAAGTTTCCAAAGAGAGATTGAAACCCTTCTAGATCAAAATGCCCAAAATCCATCTTCGAACCCTCTCTTTCTTCTCTCTCTCTCTTGTTGACTTCCAATCATCTCTTTTCTTCACCATTTTCGTGTTCTTTTATGATTTACAAGTCATTAGAACCCAAATCGTTCTCTCTTCTTGACTTCGAATTGTCTCTTTTCGAACTGTCTCTCTTCACCATTTCGATGTTCCGTTATGATTAGAAGTCATTAGAACCTTTTGATTTTTTTTTGTGCCTCGAATATGAGGTACTGCACACGGTGTTACGGCCGTTGAAAGAGAGAGAGAGAGAAGCGAAAGAGACTAGGGTAGGACGGGGCTGGAGTGAGAATGAATTAGGGATTTTAGATACATAACCAAGAAGAGAATAGAAGCATGAGACGACGATAGATACCTTTGATTTCAGATATACAACCGAAGAGAAGAGATGAGATGATCCTGGTACCCTAGCAATTGATTCAGCCTTCATCATCATCATCAGAGAGAGAGAGAGATTGAAACCCTTTTAATGTTCTATTCTGATTAAAGGAAGGCAAAATAGTTATTTTGAAAAGAAAAAAATTCTTCTTTTTTTTTTTTTTTTTTTTTTTTTTATCATACAATTCATGACATGCATTGTGCGTCGTAAAAAAGTAATACTTTTAATGTCAAGTGATGTGTGCGTCATAAAAAGTGTAATACTTTTAACTGCGGCCGTTGTGTACGCCGTGAATAGTATTCACTTTTCACAGTTGGCGTATGTGCGTCGTGTGTAATTGATGTATTAATGGCATGCCATATGCACGTCATAAAAACTTTTATTATTTACAGCGTGCATTGCAAGCTATAAAAAAATCATCGTTATTACCATTCACGGCCTATTCAATAGACACACCGTGGTTGGAAAAGCATTTATAAGTTGCAAAAAAGCAAGTTGTAAAAGTGAGAAACTACAGTGTCTATTTATCGTATGCCGTTGATGTGGTGCCGTAAAAAGTCAGTTTTGTTGTAGTGATAAGCTTAAGTGTTGAAAAAATGCATTTTTCGATTTAATTTTCAAACTAGAAGTCCCGTGCTAGTTCCATAAGTTTTCACAACTTACATTGATCCATTTCGAGGTGCTTGAGGCATTCTTTAGGCCTTTTCATAGCTGTTACACGATTTTGGCCCCTGATGGCCTATTTTCAAGCTTAAGTGTTGAAAAAGTGCATTTTTCAACTTAGTTTTCAAACCGGGAGTTCTGTGCTAGTTCCGTAAGTTTACACAAGTTACAATGGTCCCTTCTAAGGTGTTTGAGGTGTTCCTTGGGCCTTCTCGTGGTTGTTTCACGATTTCGGCCCCTGATGGTCTATTTTCAAACTTAAGTGTTGGAAAAGTGTATTTTTTGACTTAGTTTTCAAACTAGGAGTTTCATGCTAGTTCTGTAAGTTTCCACAGCTTACATTGGTCCCTCCCAAGGTGTTTGAGGTATTCCCCAGGCCTTCTTGTGGCTGTTACATGATTTTGGCCCCTGATAGCCTATTTTCAAGCTTAAGTGTTGGAAAAGTACATTTTTTGACTTAGTTTTCAAACCGGGAGACCCGTGCTAGTTCCGTATGTTTCCATAACTTACATTGGTCCCTCCTGAGGTGTTTGAGGTGTTCCCCTGGCCTTCTCATGGCTGTTACACAATTTTGGCCCCCGATGGCTTATTTTTAAGCTTAGGTGTTAGAAAAATGCATTTTTTGACTTAGTTTTCAAACCAAGAGTTCCGTGCTAGTTCTGTAAGTTTTCACAGCTTACATTGGTCCCTCTCGAGGTGTTTGAGGTGTTCCTGGGGCCTTTTCATGGCTGTTACACGATTTTGGCCCTCGATGGCCTATTTTCAAGTATAAGTGTTGGAAAAGTGCATTTTTTGACTTAGTTTTCAAACCGGGAGTCCCGTGCTACTTTTATAAGTTTTCAAAACTTACATTAGTCCCTCTCGAGGTGTTTGAGGTTTTCCCCAGGCCTTCTCGTGGCTGTTACACGATTTTGGCCTCCGATGGCTTACTTTCAAGCTGAAGTGTTGGAAAAATGTATTTTTCGACTTAGCTTTCAAACCGGGAGTCCCGTGCCAGTTTCGTAAGTTTACATAACTTAAATTGGTCGCTTCTAAGATGTTCCTTGGGCCTTCTTGTGCCTGTTATACGATTTTAGCCCCCGATAGTCTATTTTTAAGCTTAATTGTTGGAAAAGTGCATTTTTTGACTTAATTTTTAAACCAGGAGTCCCGTGCTAGTTTTGTAAGTTTTCACAACTTAAATTGGTCCCTCTCGAGGTGTTTGAGGTGTTCCTTGGGCCTTCTCATGGCTGTTACATGATTTTGGCCCCTGATGGCCTATTTTCAAGCTTAAAGTGTTGGAAAAGTGCATTTTTTGACTTAGTTTTCAAACCGAGAGTCCCGTGCTAGTTCCGTAAGTTTACACAAGTTACAATGGTCCCTTCTGAGGTGTTTGAGGTGTTACCCTGGCCTTCTCGTGGTTGTTTCTTGATTTTGGCCCCCTATGGTCTATTTTCAAGCTTAAGTGTTGGAAAAGTGCATTTTTTGACTTAATTTTCAAGCCAGGAGTCCCATGCTAGTTTTTTAAGTTTCTACAACTTAAATTGGTCCTTCTCAAGGTATTTGAGGTGTTCCTCGGGCCTTCTCATGGCTGTTACATGATTTTGGCCCCCGATGGCTTATTTTCAAGCTTAAGTGTTGGGAAAATGCATTTTTTTACTAACAGGTTAATTTAGTAACTTTTTGGCTATTTGGCTAAAATATGAGCTAAAAAAAACTAGTATGTTTGGGATGACTTTTTGGCTTTTTACAAAAAGATGCGCAAAAAGTTAAGAGAAAAGAGAATCTTTGACTTTTTGGTATGGGTTGTTGACTTTTTGGCTAATTTAGTAACTTTTTGGCTTTTTGGCTAAAAAGGAAGGTTCCCAAACGAGGCCTTTTCAAACCGGGAGTTCCGTACTAGTTCTGTAAGTTTCCACAACTTACATTGTCCCTCTCAAGGTGTTTGAGGTGTTCCCCGGGCCTTCTCGTGCTTGTTACACGATTTTGGCCCCTGATGGCCTATTTTCAAGCTTAAGGCCTCGTTTGGAAACAGGCTAATTTAGTAACTTTTTGGCTATTTGGCGAAAATATGAGCTAAAAAAAACTAGTATGTTTGGGATGACTTTTTATCTTTTTACGAAAAGATGTGCAAAAAGTAGAGAGAAAAGAGAATCTTTGACTTTTGGTATGGATTGTTGACTTTTTGGCATTTTTAGTAACTTTTTGACTTTTTGGCTAAACCGGCTAGTCCCAAAACGAGGCCTAAGTGTTAGAAAAGTGCATTTTTTGACTTAGTTTTCAAACTGGGAGTCCCATGTTAGTTTTGTAAGTTTCCACAACTTAAATTGGTCCATCCCGAGGTGTTTGAGGTGTTCTCCGGGCCTTCTCGTGGCTATTACACGATTTTGGCCCCCGATGGCTTATTTTCAAGCTTAAGTGTTGGAAGAATGCATTTTTTGACTTAGTTTTCAAACCGGGAGTCCCGTGCTAGTTTCGTAAGTTTTCACAACTTACATTGGTCCCTCTTGAGGTGTTCCTCAGGCCTTCTCGTGGCTGTTACACGATTTTGGCCCGCAATGGCCTATTTTCAAGCTTAAGCTTCGGAAAAGTTCATTTTTTGACTTAGTTTCATGCCTACGTGTTGGAATAGTGCAAATTTCAAAGTAGTTTTCAAATTGGGAGCCACGTGCTTCTTTCATAAGTTTGCACAACTTATGTTGCTCCGTCTCAAGGTGTTTGTGATTTTTCTCCGGCCTTTACATGCATATTTCAATTATTTCCTGGGACCTTTCGCCCTTAAATGTCAAAGTATTTTTTTATTCTTCCCTAGTTGAAGAAGAAATTTCTAATAAATTAACATAGAAACATAATATACTAACTAAGAAGCTTTTCCATTAGAAGTTGAACTTTCCCCACTCTCAAAATTTCCCGTGATACCTTTCTGCCTCAAACACTCTATGATACTTTGTATCTTCTTACTTTGTTTTTTCTCTGACTTTTCAAACCTTGCAATTTGTTCATTTTGTTGTGCTATTTGCATCTCAAGGCGTTGAACATAATCACTATTTTCAGTAGGTGCAATAGTTGTATTCATAGAAGAAGGCCTCAGGCCGAGTCCTTTCACATAACCTGACCTTGGCTTAAGCACCTTGACTAACAACTCCTCTGCGAGAGGTGTTCTGCTTGCGTCTGTATCATGTTGTCCTATTAATTTGAAATAAATCAAACAATTATTAGTTATTCTACCCTACATAGCAAAATAAATAATTTTATCAAAATTGAAAGACATTGCCTTGTGCATACATAATTAACTTGGCTCTCCGACGAAATCCATTCTTGCATGTCTAAATTATAGTGGATGGACTTGTAAAATTCTGTTAAATCGAGCATTTTTCCATTTGCAATTATCTTATTCATTTGTTTTTCAATGTTATTTCAAATATTTAAATAACAAAGCCTACTAATCTAATAAAATAAATTAGTTGAACGCACCATGCTGTATATCCTAACCGGGATTGATTTTGATCCACATCGATGTTTTGTCTTCATTTGCATCCTATTATTCACATTAGCTAGTGATTGTTCCTACACAATTGAAACACCAATAAAAACAAGAAAAGATAACAATAGTATGAAGAAACTTAATTTTTGACAATTAACATATATAAAACATTTTACCTTGAATTTTTGACTATTCCACTTGTCAATTAGAGATGTCCACTAATTAAGAGTAACTCTTACAGGTGGGTGGCTTCTCGCGTAATCCTTCCCTCTTGCATCCTTAAGTTGCTTGTATTGTTTGTGCAGTTGTAAAAAATAAAGAAAATGCATTTCCACAATAACACTAAAACAACAAAAGATACATTTTGTTTCCTCCTATTAGCCTAAACACAAAGAAAAAAAAAAAAAAAAAAAAAAAAAAAAAAAAAACTAAAAAAGAACCAGAGCCTAAACATGAAAACTAAAACTAGTTAATTCATTAAAAATGGAAAGACAGAGATGCTTATTTGATTCAAGGTGGCCATATCTAATCGTCCAAAACAATATGTTCAAACTTTTATAAATCAAGAAATGAACAGTCATATCCTTTTATTTGAAGTCTTATTACAAACAATGCTACAACTTTAAAGACAAGAGTTTGTCAATAATTACCGCCAAGCTTTGGATCAACAGCTCCTTATCAGCAGCATTCACCTTTTTCCGCCTACGAACGCTTAGGTCTGGTAACTACGTTCGAACCTCTATACCAATCTTGGAGACCAGGTTACAGGCATTATCTCCTACTGGTGCACAAAACTATTCAGGTATATGAACTAACATGTAACGCCACCAAAATAACCCAACAT